GGACTACTATTTTACTGTTTGTTGCGAAGAAAACACGAAGTGGAACGTGGACCGGCTTGTTTGATGGGTCCGAACGGTACTACTACTAGATTTCCTCAGCCGTATGCGGCAGGCGTCCAACAACATCAAAATAAGGTTGTTACCGAGTCATAGGATGTGATTGAGGCGAGGTCGTTTTTGTCGACATGTTCTACTCCACTGAATAGCATTATGCAATCGGTGTGCTTTTCACGTGGGCCCTTAATAAATTGCGACGGGTACAATTCGCAAAGTCTCGAGAAAAATGCACTTACATAGCAGACTAGTATTATCGTCTTGACTGGGGCCAGGTGGCACTTCATAAGAGCAGGACTAGATTATGATCAACTGTTTTTGGGTCTTTATGAAATTGTATACTATAAATGTGTATATAAAAACTTTTACTGTAGTTTTTTTTTTTTTTTGGTGTTTAGAGAGGGACCTTTAGAATATATTTCGGAAGGGAAGAAGAGAGAGGAGGAAAAGGGAGGAGAAAGAGGGGGCAGAAGGAGAAGGGAAGGAGAAAGGGGGTGGTGACAGTGGCGGATAGAAGTTGTGGTAGAATTTATTTTTTTTTAACTTTTTATATATTTGTGAGCTGTTTTTAATATATTATATGGATGAAGTGTTTTTTAAATTGCTTTTGTTCGTGTATTATTATAGTATTGTATATTTGAAAATTTAGTTTTTGAAAAATTAGTTATTTGAAAAATAGGCTAATCCAAACAGAGCCTTAGTAAGGGTTGTGCATAGAAACTTGAATTTTAAACTTTGTGCCACAAATTTTTAAATCCTTATCAATTAAATCCTTTTATTTTCTTAGAGGGAGAATAATTTGGATTAGGTCATGTAGATAGGGCAGGATGCAAGGGAATAGTGAAGAGAGAGAAGACTAGGAAGAGAAATAAAAAACAAGGCAGCCATAGGTTTGGGGAATTCAAAATTTAGTTGAGTGTAGTGTAAGCAAGAGGAGAGATTAATTAGGTGTAAAATAGAGAATTAATTTGATGTCCTATCAATTTTGCCAATTAAATTCTTATAAACAAGGGTTTGTTTGGATTATTTATTTGAAATAATTACTGTAACACTTTTTATGATGTGATATATGTGAGATAAAAAGGTGATTTGAATTTATGAAGCAAATTATTTTATTTGAAATTATCTCAATCCAAACAAACCCTTTGTTTATTATGACTTTTTTCCACATTAGCATGTATAACACAATTAGAGCAAACAATTGTACAAATTTTCAATTGCTCTGCATAACTTTTATATTTTATTCTACATATCTTGTGGCTTCACTGCTTTTTTTTCCCTTCAATTGTAATTAGTTGGGAATATTAATAAGCCAGTCAAGATATAAGATTTATTTTAAGCAGAAAAAATCACAAACCTTGAACAAAAAACACAGGCGGCATACAGCATGGTTGACACCACTGCACGGGATCTTCTTTTATCATTAACGATTTATACAAGTGTTAATAGTTGACCAATTGGTTTTGTCCTTAAACTGTGTTTGGACAGGAGATTATTTGGAATTTTTTTAAAAAAAATATTATAGTATTTTCTTGATATGATATATCTGAAATAAAAAAGTGATTGAACAATGTGCTTATGATGTAAGCAGATAAATTTATACAAATAATGAACTATCCAAACAAACATATGCAAGTTCTTAGTTGTTTCTGTGTAACTTTTGAGGTTAATAATGAAGTAAACTAATAGCATTTGGCCTAAAATAAAATATTTTATGTATCGGAAAGCAATTTTCCAACAAAAAATGGTTACGTTTTATCGTAAATACATTTTTCAATCACTTTTTCACCTCACATATATTAAATCGTTACAGTACATATTTCTACAAAAACTCTAGAAAATTGCAATCCAAGCAAAACCTAACTTCGACCGTTTGCTCATATATATATATATATATCTATATTGCGATCTGATTAAACTATGAGACTAATATTATACTATATTAGGCAAAATTTTTGGAGCATCGACCGTCCTTGGAGGCCAGAACAGAATCGGGGCGTGTGTGAATATGTTGTCCTTTAGTACAGTAATTACTTACTAGTAATTCTATCTCTTTGTTTACGCAAAATTTGTAGTCTACAATGAATTTGGCCTTTGTAATCTTTCCTGTGTCTTATTGAAGTTAGATTCACGGTTTAAGTGCCAAAATCAGGCAAAATTAATAAAATTTTTGTACCATAATATGGCCCGCCTATCCTGTAATGAATTGATTTCAACTAACAAATTTTCTAATTAATAGTAGCGTTTTGGCCTCTTTGGTGATTGTGATGAAAAGGATCTTTTGGTTATATCTCCTATTGAGATCCTTGATCTTCTAACAACCTTGGTGAAAGTGGGTAAATCTGCAGTCTACATGCCTGATTTGCTTTGGATCAGAAGTTCTAGAATAAAACAAATTTTTAGCCTGTCCCATATCCTCACTCTTAAGTTACTATATGCATGTACAAAAATGACAAAGAAGACTTTCAGCGTTATTTATATATTCTAGCGACCATTGATTCCTCTTCAGACACACTTTTGAACATATTTCACTCACCGACAACTGAATAGGTGAAAAGATTATTGGTTTTTTCAGAAAGATCAAAAAACAATAATTATTCTGGCAATTATGTTGGTTTTTTGAAGTTGCCAATGCTATCCCTATCTTCCTAAAGCTAAAACATAGAAATGTTCCCAAGTTAATGTTTTTTAAATACAATATCTTTAGTGATTGTTAATTTGCTCCTACCACATTCAATTTAAAAAAAAAAAGAAAGATATTGCTAATCTACTACTTGATTAATAATTTCTTACCTTTTATTTTTTTTTTCTCAATAGGGAGCGACAAGATTGACGAAGCAGAGAGGGGACACGAAAGTTTGAACTCAAGATTTCTAATTCTTAAAATCTCAATTTTAGTAATAATCTCTTACTTGATTAATCTTTCATTGGCTAATTAACAAATTAAAATGCACACAAAAGGACATAAAGTAAGAAAATTCAATGGCATGCAGTGATTTGTAAATGCCTTAGGATGCATGATTTTTCTTGTAGCGTGCTTTTGATCTATCCTTGTACAATTCTAAGTTCATGCTTGCCAAATCCAACAATAACAATAGAGCCAAGAACGCCCCCTAGTATTCTACTATTCTTTAAACTACGTATGCATTAATAAATCTCAAAGGTCAATAATTGAAGGCAAGTACTAGAAGATGTCGCATATGAATTCCCACTAGCTTTGTATACAAATCAAGTGCAGATTCCAGCTCAGCAACCCAATCAAATCTGGCCGTCAATCGAATCCAATCCTAGGAGGAAAATTCCCTCAATCTAGTTGTCAAAAATATCCCATAATCTTTGCCTCTAATCCACAATTATTTTAATTAAATTACTAATATAATAATCCAATGGTCGCCGTTTGCCCTCCAATTCCACTCGGCCGTACCCGGATAACCAAATCCAACCAAAAACGAAAACAGGCCGTGATTGACTAGCCCTGTGGGTCCCCCAGCCATCACCCCAAACTGACCGGACCCAAAGTCTCCGTCTCAACCCAATTCATCACGCAATGCAAAAATACCCCACCAAAAATAAAGTAAACGGAAAAAAAATGAATTTTACCACTACTAAGTATAGTACTAGTAATGCAATTGTTTTTTATAAACAAATATTTGATGAACAAAGTTTGTCTCTATAATAAAAAAAATAATCAAGTCATAAGATTACTAAATTTTTTAAAGATAGTACTGTAGCAATTTTTGTAATTCAATATATATATATATATATATATATATATATATATATATATATATATGTGTGTGTGTGTGTGATGAAAGGAGCCAAATGATATTTTCAAGAATTTGAAACTGCACTCTAGAATTTTATTATGCGAAGGAGGGAGGATTACCAAGAGAATTATTTTGCAATGCAAATATTGTTTGCTTACAAAGATTGTTGGAATGATAAAAATGGGATTAGAAAACGTATTTGTAATGCAATAAAATTTATTTTTGCAAAAATTGACCAATCCAAGCAAACCTTTTACATATTTTAATTTATGGACTAGACTAGTTTTTTTTTAATTGAAAATAATAATTGATGGCCCAATCAACAGGATATGAAAAACCATAAACTAGAAGATAACATGTGATTTGTTTGGATAGTTTATTATTTGGACAAATTTATTTACTTGCATCATAAAAATAATTTTTAATCATTTGTTATCTTATATATATCGTATTAAAACAATTTTATAGTATTTTTTCACAAAAATCATTTTAAATAATCTTCTGTCTAAACGAACTAAAGGCACCAAAGATTGTTAATAATAACCGTTCTGAACGATGTAATATTTTTTGAATAAAGTGTAACTCTACATAAATTACTTGTAAAATTTCATAACGAAAACACAATTATTACATATGGGACTCATATAAACAATAACAAAATATCATACCTCTACTATAAGGATGCACAAAAAATTTATATACTGTTTTAAAACGTTCAAAAAATATTATACTTTCAGGAACGGTTGATTGCCCCCCGCTCTCCTATCCGAGCACGCTAAAGATGTATATAAAAAATACATTCCCAAAAAAAGAGGTAATTGTTGAATGGAAACATCTGCCTTGCTATATTTGCCGGCAAAAGGGAAATATTCAGAAAAGTTTAGAATTCAAAGAACACGTTTAGGGAAGAAAAGGCTGAAGTTAAAAAAAAATTTAAAAAAAGGACGAGACGTCCGTGATATGGCAATGGCATGGCCCCCGAGTATTCCCATCTCACGCTCCCACGTCACCGTCATCTGTCTCTCTCTCTAACCCTTTCTTTCTCTCTCTATCCTGTCCCCCTATATAAATCTCCGGTTCGCTCTTCCCAACTCATCAGATTCAAACCAGAACCCATCAGAATTCCTTGGTCTTGCTTCGTCCACAATTTTCTTTTTCTTCTTTAATTGATAAATTATAATGGCAGAGTTCAGCAGCAAGAAGCGAGTCCGAGTTGACTCGGACGAAACATTCGAGGCTGGATTTGACGCCCCTGAGGTAAAGCGTTTGAGGGAAGATCTCTTGGGTAATTTTGACGATGGCGAGTTTTATACGGCGAGTTTGGAGCTTGATTCGTTTATGAAGAGCTTTGAGGAGGAGATTTTATCTGGGACGCCAACGACAACTACGACGGCTGTGGCTGTAGTTGACTTGACCTCGTCGGAGTCCGGCGAGTCTCAGCCGGATTTGGGTTACCTATTGGAAGCTTCCGATGATGAGTTGGGGCTTCCGCCGACGACGAGTGAGGGGCAAAATGGGAATGAGGAGGATAAGGCTGAGTTGGTCCGAGTTGAGTCTGACTCGTCTGGACTCAGGGGTGAGTTGTGGGGGTACAGCGAGGAGCTACCGAGTTATGACTCGTTCGATGTTGGAATCGGTGAATTTGGGGATTATATTGGCGGCGGAGGCGAATACGTGGCGCTAGATGGATTATTTGATTACTCCGATCTGGGTTTCGGGTCAACTGATTTCACGTGGAGACCCGAGACTCTACCGGCCAAATAGGAGGGACCAATTTCTTTAGCTTCGGTGATGTAGCTGATACGTTAGGCAGACACTATTGTAAATCTTTTGTTTTTTTGATACTTTAAAACATGACGAAAATACTTATACGCAAGCAGAGGAAAATGGATTAATTATGGATATTACCAGTTTTTTATTTCTTTGAAAATGGGAATGTAATTTCGAAAAATTTTACTTTAGAACTTATTAGGTATGATATGGGCTTATCAACTAAACATTGATCTATGAAATTTGAGAAATCATGATTTACCAAAACCAGTGACTGTCGTGTTAGTTCGATAATAAAACTTGAAGAACAATTTTACCCAAGAGTCAAAGTCAAAGACATCTATATTATTGTTCTCTGTAAAATCTCTTCTTTCTTGGGGGAAGAAAAAATCAATTTTGCCCATGACGCGAAGGACAAAATCAAATACACCACCATGATTGCAAGATTATAATTTGGTATTGCGTTTCCCAGAAGCTTTCCCCGTTTCGCCGTTCGGGCTGCATCTTTCTCAGAACTTTTAGGCCTAATGACACTTAATTTGCACTTCGTTGCTCTCATTTTATTGCATATTGATGAAAGGTCCTAACTATTTATGACTAAAAACATTTACGTGCCTAACAACTAATTGTGGCTAAAGAAGTTTTGGTAACTCTAAGTTGCATCATTTTTGGGCAATATTTTTATTCGTCTACACTAGCCAGGTCATTGCCTATTAGTTTTCAAGCGATTTAAGCAATGTATCAAAAAAAAAAAGATTGCACAAGGTAGTTAAGATGTGTAAATTGTAGGCTTTTTGGTTGGATTGCTGATTTTTTCACGAACAAGTTTTTCAAATACAAATGCTATAATAACACATTTTCAAAAACATCTAATCTATACAAATTTTTTAAAAAAATGTATCTTCTTTATTTTCTTCCACCCACCATACATCAACACCGCCCATCCTCTCCTCTACTTCCATCGCTGCCCCTCCTTTTTTTTTTTTTTTTTTCTTTTCTTTCCTCTCTCTCCTTCCTCCTTCTTCCCCATCTTCCTCCTCCTTTCTTCCCCTATCTTCCCTTTCCATGCAATTAGAAATCCGCTATTTGATTGCAGCCAGAAGATTGGCGACCAAATCGCAACTTCTGGGCGTGACTGGAAGGAGGAGGCTAAAGGCGTGGGGTGAGGGAGGGGCCAAGAAGAAAAGGAAGAAGAAACGAAGAAAAAAAGAGGGAGAGGGAGTGGTAGGTGGCGATGGGCGGTGGTAGTGGTAGCTGGTATTATTTTTTTTTAATTTTTGAAAAATACTCCAAAAAAGTTTAAAATTTTAAAAATATCTCAAAATACTTCCAGAACCATCTTAAAAAATGTCTATAATAAAAGTTTTTGACATGGAATTGTTACAATAAAACTAGCATTTTAACCCGTGCTATGCACGGATTTAGATTTCAATTCAAAACAATACTTATTTATTATAATATAGGATGAAGCATATGAAAAAGGCAAAAAAGTTCAAAGAAGTGTAAACTTGACATGTTAAAAAAAAGTTTATTTCGTAAGTACAAAATGGACTTTCTAAAATTTAATATCTTAAATAAGTTGAAACCAAATTTTATTAACCTACTGCCTACCAATATATGATAACAATTTGAATAAAATAAATTAATTTATAACGATTTACATGATAGAGCAAATGTAAACTTATTTATAAATATATCGTGTTATACCCATATATCAACATTTTTAACATTAAATATATAAAGTATAAATAATTCATTTTCCTCAATTTTAGAAAATTTTTCTTTCATCTTGTAATCCTAAAATTGTTGAGTGCTTATAGAATAACGGTCTTCATAAATTTTAATATAAAATTAAAATAGTCTTTGTAAGATGCATTTTTAAAATTTTCAAATTTATTAAAAACTATTACCCTTTTCATTATCTTTTACCTGCTAACTGGTTATCCACTGCCTTCTATGACTTTCAAATCTCTTACCATGGTATCATCCTTCTTGTCATATCCTTCTTGTAATAGTTTACTTTCTTTTTTCGACTACTCTTTAACTCCTTACTATTCTCTTTCTCTCACCTATAGTTAGGCTCTAACTCTTTGTTTTTGCCATCCAATTTCCTATTCTTTTCCCTTCATCATTCTCCCCACCTTTTTAAATTTATAATTTGTTCTTTTAGACTAGTAGTACTTTGTTTTCTATTTAGTGATTTCATAATTTAGGATTCACAAATGGTACCATTATTGATATTTTAAATTCATGACCAATAAATATTATTTTCTTTTTGTTTTCTATATAATTTGCCCTTTTAGTTAGGATTACTAAGTTGAAGAGTAAAATATTAATTGTTATTTACTTTTTTACTTTTAGTAGGGTTAGTGATTTTCCTCTTTATTTACCCTCACATTAATAGATTTCAAATTAAATTCAAAAGACAAGAAATGATATATAACAATTAAAAAAATTTAAAATTCTATATAAAAAAAAAAGAGAATGAGAAGTTAAAAGCATTTTGATTTAACCATTCTAAAAACCTTATCTGCAATACATATAGATATATATTTTTAAAAAGTACATCCAAAAACTCCTAAATCACACGGAACCATAGTAATTAACTCAAAATGTTAGGGCAAAATTCCCCATACGCGTTACACCAACCTCGCCTATGTACCAAAGTGGTTACGGATTGTTTACTATTAAACTGATACGTGCAAAGCACTCCACGTTGACGCGATGCTTTAACTTCATTACGTTATCTAATTTGGCTTCAATTTCAAGAGCAGTTTGGACGACTTGATACATCTCCAATTGAAATGGCAATTTGGGATAGGAGAGCGATAGTTACTTGACACTTAAAAGTTAAAATAGTTAACAGTTCCTGCTAGAAAGAGAAATTCAGGACAGTACCCATGCTTCTAGGTTCTAGAATATCAAGATTTCTTTCCAATAGGTGTGGGTGTATAAAAATTTTCAGTTTCGATCTTTAACATCATAAACACCAGTTTAATGGGAATTTTTTTTTAAAAAAATAAATGATCATTTACTTCCGATATTTGTGGCTTTGGCATTATGGGTTATCTTTCGTAGATACGATAAGATTGTGGAGTTATAGAGAGGGGTCAGTAAAACAAAATTAAGCTCATCTTTGTGGTGAAATGGAAATATTCATATATTTTGAGCCTCGAATGGCAAAATTCAATAGTTGAAAGGTCATAGTCATTAATCCACTCAACTTCCCTCAAAATTCAAAAATAAAAATAAAAAACACTAAACGAAAAAAAAAGTCCCGTGTAGCACTAAACTACTAATCTCTTTGTTTTATAAATTGGTCCAACAAAAAGTAATTTTTTTTACAGAATTAAGAACCTATATTGAAGACTAAGACAATAATGTAACTGCAATTTGATTGACGATGGTAAGGTGATTCCCGGATCCCTTTTCTGCTCCTGTGGTAAGGTGTTCTGGCACGAGGTACAACTATCACACTTACTTAGACCACGCGTCTCACGGGCCAACGGAGGCGGCAAGCATAACCACTTTAATTATTTCAAACCAAACAAATCCTTTGTAAAAGAAGATGAAGCAAAGAAAAGGATCTCCCGACAAAGCAAAATGGATAACAGTTGAATGGGAGTTTTTTTAGGACTATTTTACAGCATAATTATTGGAATTTAATCCATTTGTCACTTACATATGGAATGACGTTTGCGGGTTTCGAAATCTAGATTACACATTGAATCGAAAGTTAATTGATTGTCTTGTCAAAAAAAAAAAAAAAACACAGAAGTTTTTGGTTCTTTTTTTTTTTTTTTCGAGTTGAATGTATTTTTTTTTTTTTTTCCCCTTTTCCGCACAAACAATCTTGTAACGCAAGCTCTGTACTTAAATTGCACCGGCGAAGAGAGTATTCAACCCTCGATTTAAAGGAGGAAAAAGTTGGATTGAATGATAACGCAAGCTCTGTACTTAACTTGGCTTGGGTATTTGATGAAACTTACGGTAAATAGAATCAAGTTTAACCTTTTTTTTTTCCTTTTTTTTTTGTTTGTTTCACAAACAATTTGCTATATATGAATGATCGCAACTTTCAATACGAGGATCAAGTAATACCATGATGACTATGTTGGTTGTCATAATTCCTATGGTTGGGCTAATCAGAGGCGGCGACATCTGTTGAAGCTTTGATATGCCATGTGTTTTGTCCCTTGGCAAGGGCACGGCAAAGATGGGCATCCTCACTTCTGACCTTCAATTTATGGATGATCATCTCAATGTTGAGGCTTTCAAGAAACCGTTAAAGCTGGGGCAGGATTTAGGAGCTTGACGTAAAAGAAAGAAAAAGACTGAGACACACCCATGATCTTTGCTCAATATCTAGAGCGGTGCACCTCAAACTTGAGGTAGCAGACCACTCTCGAGTTGAATCAACTTGACTACTGGCCATCCAGCATAGTACAGGGACCAGATTGAATGATGCGCTGCGGAACCAACCAGGAGAAGAAGATAGATATGAATCGGTAAGCTGGCATAGGCCCCAACCCTTTCCACGACTTCGAAACGTGCGCGTTGCGTGTAGCAAACACCTTGTCCTTAACTTTCTTCTTCTTTATTTATTTATTTATTTATTTCTTTTGTCAAAAGTCACGTTCACACACACACCACTTTACCAAATAACCTTCATTTTCTCCCTAGCTACCTCCCTCTGTCAAATTTTTTTCTATTCTGAATTGGTTCATTTGATTCTCTAGTGAGTGTGATTGAAATTTTAACGAGATAAAAGCTGTTATTAAACAGCCTAACATCTTAACAATAAATTGTAAAGCACGATGAATTAATTATAAAATGTCGTAACAGATATGTAATTGTTATTTATGAAATTCACATGAACAGTGATGGAATATCACGTAGTTATTGTGAAGTTGTACAGGTTGTTAATAGTCTCTTACAATTTATTCAAATAGTATTACACCGTTCAAAAATCAATTATATTGATAATCGTTTTT